CTACACAAATTTTTTCTTTTTGATTTTTTACCTGGATTACTGAGATGCATCAGGACATATTTGACTGGCATTTTATTCTCTAGTACTGACACTTCCTTTGCCTGCACTTAAACTGAACATTTGGTACTGATTCTTTTAATTAATTAATTAATTTATTTATTTTTTGTTATTTTCATGCACAGCTTTGTTGTAAATCATATGCTGAACAGACACAGGTTAAAGTAATATAAACTCCAGCTGTAATTCCTAAGGTCCAACAAGGGTTTCATGAATAGAGAAGCAATGTTGGCAAACAATCCGAATCTTTACAAAAGCTCTTTAAAACGAACAAGAAGAACAGAGTCATGGACCGTTGCAAACTGTTCTTTTTTTCTAATCATGTTTCACACAGATGCAGACACATGCTCCTCCTTTTCTTATTCCACTTAGCTGAAGACAGGGGAAAAGGGGGAAAATGCAACAGTTGTGGTTGGCAAASCTGTGCTGTGAAGAGATGGGGTAGGGGGTTGCATACTTGACATGCATGCAAGTACAGCTGTAGGTTATGTCATTACTTTCTGTATGTGCATAGTGATGTCATAACACACATATTTATCGATACCTGCAGCATGTGACTGACCATTTAAAGGGTTGTCCTCTTGTTTTCAGTTTTAGAAATTTACACTTACTCATGTGTTTCAGTGGGATTTACAAAAAAAAAGTGGAACAGTTTCAAATGTTTTTATTACTGTATTATKAGGTTATTTTTTCTTCAGTGAAGTGAGTTAATTTCTGATGAAAATCTGTTGGTCTAGTAAATGTCTTCTTTTTAAAATGCATAAATGCATAAATTTTATAATTTCTCTGCGTCACCTAGATTCTGTTTTCAGGAAACACAGTATTGAGTTTCGCTGCTGACTGACGACACCCAGCTGTAGTTGTCTCACCTCCCACTTCCTCCTGCCTTCCCAGCTAATGGTTTAGGAGAGATTAAAAACTGGTTTGCCAACAATCTCAACGGCAATAATAATAATGATAATAATAATAAGTTATTTCTTGTCAACTCCGTCTGCTCTCTGCAATTGTCTGTTTCTCAATCAGCAAGGATGATTC